ACTCTCTCGCTTTCTTGCCTTCGCGTGGCCGGCTCCGCCCCCTTTGCGTCGCTTCTTGCCGCCCCACAGAGAATCGTGGATCCACGTGTCTTTGCATTGACTTTGTACGTAAACCCACCGCCCCCAACATTCACTTCACTTTTGGTCTGATAGCACCATTAGTAGCTTATCTGCACCTCAGACTGTATTTGTAACAGCACAATAGTGTTTAGGCTATAGCCTTATTATAGTTTGAACTACAGTAAGCTATGTTTTATATACAGTACTATATTATAGTGTATTTGAATTATACACAGTACAGTAATTTAATATGTACAGTAATTTGAAAAGCATCTGAAACAGCTGCACTGTATTTTGAAACAGTCAATAATATTCCGTTAAGCTGTCAGTTTCATTACTCTATATTCATGTAATTAATATACAAATGTAAATTAGATGATAATCTGCATGAGAAACCGGACAGTGCCATCTCCAAATAACAATATAAAAGCAGAAGTTGACAGTGTTTTCTTTGAAGTAGTACAATTCCAATGTGGCGGCGGATGCAGCAACTACTTCAAAAGTGTTGTGTTTCTTTTTGCCTATAATATTTATAATAGATATATTATTTATATTAGTGCTTGGTTTTGGCTTTTCTTTTCATTTTTTTGTTAGTTTCCATGGAACCCAGCAACAGTATAACACACCAACAACACCAACAACTTCATGCTGTAGCACTGATATGGGTTTTTATTTACTCTCTTGTTACTGTACTTACATTACTTGAATATCTGTTTTATACGTCTATAAATAATATATTACTTATTTTGCAGTTTTCACCTAAACATATAACATAACAAGAAATGAATCACTCAAACTTGGTTATTAAAAAGTTGTTTCAAGGACAGGTGAGAGGTTAAACAAATTACAGTAGCAGCAGCTATAGAGTGACTGCAGTTATTTTTTTAAATGCACCCACTGGGGCTATAAACCATTTATATACTGCCAATGCTTTTTATGTATCTGCAAACATTAATGCCAATAATATCATCTTATTGGCATGCTGTTTGGCCCTATTATAGAACTTGTTCTCTGTCTAGTTCAACAACGTTCTTATTAGTAATACCCAGTAGTCTGACCCAGAAAAACTGATATTCGAGAGCTCATCGTCACAGTACAGAATAACCTCAAGGCCATGATGGCTTTTATGAAGGCTGGTAAGTTTTTGTCCAAGTATACATGCATCAAAATAAATGAATAAAAACAGAATAAAACAAGAAAGGGCACTAATTAGCCCCTTGGAGTCCACAAGAGAAAACAAAGAAACCAGTAAAGCACAGTCTACTTGATGGTAACTGTCAGCAGGGTTGTTTCTCTAACCAATGACACTGCGTTGCCCGTATAAAATTATTCATGTTCACATCGCTCGCTAGGATTATATGGCCTTTGCTTTCTGGGTGCTTTTTCGTTATATAATTCAGACCCCTGGCCTGCCTTCATGTGTGTTTATGGGCATAGCGTGTGCCTGTGTATGATTGTGTGAGGTTGATGCTGATGTTAACGCAGGCCCCAAGGGTATGATGGCGAGGTCAGGGACAATCCATTTAGCCTACTCACCCGGGTAATTATTCAGCATCAGTATCACAGAGGACACAAACTACAAAACAAACTAATGCACATTTAAGAGAGGAAATGCGCAGAGATAGAGGGTGGCAACGAGTGTGAGAGATTACAGTGCTTAGTGTAAGTAACTCTGAATGCAAATGGTTAAGCTATCGACCTGCTAATAGGGCAGGCTTGCTGCATGTTTATGTGTGTGTCATGGTCTGAGTATGTGTGGGTGCATGTGCATCCTCTCCCTGCTTGAGGCAAGGTGAAAGGTTAATTCAGGACTGTTGCTGGTGAGCTCCCCTCACATGCCTCTTCTGTCACACTACAACACACACACACACACACACACACACACACATGCAGGCTCAAGCCTTAGGCTCTCCTCATCTCCCTCAAAGGCACTTGTCCCCGTCTTGCCTCACACCTTCCGCCCAAAAATCACACAAACACACAGTCTGTGTTTACACACACACACACACACACACACAGACATCCTGCCCTGAGCATTGCTGTCTGTGATGATAATAAGGTGAGGGATTGGGCGGGGGTGGGAGGGTCATGCCTGAATCATGACTCACAGCTCCACTCTCTTAGCAACTGCCACTGCCTGTCTGCATTTACCTGGCGCGCACACACACACACAGTGTGCCAAGGTGACCTTCGCATCCTCACAAACACTTCCCTCAGACACATACATGCACTCGCTCTGCCCTCTCTCTCACATATCCTCGTCCTCATATATCTCACATCCCACATGTGTGGCCCTGGGACAGATTATTGGATTAATCTATTAACACCCTCACAGAGTGAAGAGGGTGACCTGTTTTTTACCCCATCCGTTGCCTCACCTTTTACTGTCCTTGGATTGTCACCTACTTCCCTTGTACCTCCTCACTGACTGCATCCAAATTGTTAATTGTACAATGCACTTAAATAATCTTAAAATTAGTATGTATGAAGATATATGTATACAAATTTAGTATGTGAAAAGTACAATATCCAAAAGGTATCAGTATACATGAAAAATATAAATAATAGAAATAGATGAAAATAGATAATAGAAATAGATGAAAATATTGGGTATGTAGCCAGTGCTCAAAACTGTCCCATGGTTCTTTGTACTGTGTTGTTCCCATAGAAACAGCCCAATATGGGGACATTTTCTAAACAATATGACAGATACCAGTGGGAGGAGCGCCAGCTGCAATCTGCAAGTTTAAATGTATGTTTTCGAACGCTGAAGCTAAAAGCAACAGATCTCTCATTCTGGCATAATGAAGGCTCCCCTCTGCTTCTACAAAGTTCTGAAACAATTAGTCAATTAATTGATTAGTCTAGTCAGCTGACAGAAAATTACTCAGGAACAATTATGACAATCTTTTAATCTACTTGGTAATTTGTCAAGCAAAAATGTTCAACAAGCACAAAACGTGGAAAGATTTGCTTCATTTCTCTGTTTTATATCATTGTAACTTGAATATTGTTGGCATCTTTGATGACACTATTTTCTTTTAACATTTTATGGCCTGAACCTAAACCCAAAACAATAAAAGAGATGAAAAGTAGACTATATGTTTTGTGTGTCTTAGTTTCTAACCTTCATCTGAAACAAGCTAAGAAGTCTTAACTTCTTATGAGGGCAATTAATCATTAAATCAGTAGATAATCAACAGAAAATCGTGTTAACTAACAGCTGTTGTCAATTCATTCGAGTCAGTTCTAAACAAAAATGCTCTGCTACTCTGTGCTGGGCCCATTTTACACTAAACTAATCATAAAAATAACTGGTAGACTGGTACTGAAAGTAATTGTTAGTTGCAGCCCTACCACTCATAAGTCATGCTGACACTAAAGCCATCACCTCTCATGAAGGGTCACAAGTAGAAATAGCTTCATTTTAAGAGACAAGCGGATGGGAACCTCTGGACTTATCATTTAATGAAAAAAATTGTCAATACTGAAAATAATAATTAGTTGCAGCTGTACTTCTATACGAAAGTCTGTTTGTTTAACTTGCATGGACCACATACTGCATTCTGCACCAATACTGTGTATCTTCTTGTTGCCCTTCCATCCCTCCTTGCTGCTACCCCCTGTCCCCTCCCAGAGAACAACAGAGTCAACCAGAGATTGCCCTCCCACTCCTCAGAGAGTCCAAAGTGCTAGATGAGTCCTGGCAGAGTAGACAGGGTGTAGAGGCCACTGTTTTAACAGCCATTACCGGGATAGGTGCTGACAGCTAGCGTGCCTGTGCATCCCTCCCTCTTTCTCTCTCTCTCATCTCGCCGTTGGAAGTGTGTGAGTGGGGCAACGCTCCAATTAGGACACGGTGCAGGAGTGGCATTTTAACAAAGAACTGTGATGAAAATAGTGGAATTTGTTGTGCTGTTTGTGGGACATGTTTACATTTTCAGGCTCAGGTTGATGGCCACGTACGAGGACGAACATCTTATTCTCCCTCTATGTGTATCTGTGTTTGTCTTTCTGAACAAAGTTAAATGCTTATAGGGCTAAGGTCACACTAAGGTGAAAACATCTTAAAACTGTGTCATGAAACAAAGTTAAAAAGCTCCTCAAACGGAGAAACAATTACACTAAAAGCTACAGAGTTGATAGAGGTAGTGCATTACTTTCTGTTCATTCAGGCAATTAAATAACTGAGACCAACCCAGAATGCTAATTTGATATTGTCATTACAGTTATACTTGGCAAAGATCAGCTGCAGGATTACTGAAGACTTTACTGCCTTTAAATCCCCCTGCCCTATGGGGTCCAAACTCACTACAAATGCTTTGTCAGTTAGGTGGGTTTGCTTCGCATGAGCTTCAACCTGACAAATTGCCTCTGGAGTTGCTTTGTTTCACTGTGATAAAGCAACAGAATGCAGCCACAGCGCCTGTCGTCATAAAAAAACAATCAGCAGCCCAAGATAAAGACCAAATCCACAGTAATTATTGCACCTTAAACATGGGGGTTTATGCTCCTATCTTTCTCCCTTGTTTTAATTTGGGGAACAGCCAGATAGAAGGCATAATAGACTGCTGTAATTATGAGAAGATTGTGAAACAGGCTTATTGGTTAATGCTTCACATACAGTAGAGCTGTCATTCCCGCTAAAAGGACTTCTTTTTTCAGTGCAGTACAGGAACAAAAGCAATGCAGGGTTACATCGTCTTGCATATCTTTCTTGATAGGTTTATTTTGCTATCTATGCTACATTAAGAATGGCATGAGACACGGATTTACAGGTAAATGAGATTACTTCCCCGGGAACAAGGATGGCAGAAACAGAATCTCTTTCCCCCAGTGGGCTCGATGATCCCTGTGGTTAAAGAGCCCTGTCTTGTCGGATCTGCCCGTGTCAGAGACGAAACAAGACTAACAAATTCTTTCCTGTGTTTTGTTTTCAGCCTGAAGCAACACCAGCAGTAAACTACGGAGACAGGCCACCCTGGAAAGAAGAGATGGAGTCAAAGATTATTGGAATAAACAACTTCAGAAAGGAGGATGGTCAGAAACCGAAGAGTATGAGAAAGTAGTGCAGAGTAACTTCAGTGTGTGTGTGTGTGTGTCTGTGTGTGTGTGTGTGTGGTGTCATGGACATCCATGCACGCATCTGCAGCATGCATGTGTGGGTCATTGTGAGTGTGTTTATTTCTATCTTTGATCTAAATATCTGAGATTTATTCAGCACCCAAGTGTTTGATATGAGTTCTCGACACCAACAGCCATCAGAAGACCTGCGACTGCATCTTGCCATATAACTCCTGTGTGAACCACAATCCTAAAATTGAACTGATGTCAGTGCGTTGCCCAGAGTGGTAATAACCATTACAATGATAGTCATAGAGCTGCAGTTAATAATAACTCTGTAACTAGCCGTCCTCAAAGTGCTCTGACAGCGATCCAAGTCTGAACACAGTCTTCTGTTTCTACATTTCATGTACAGATGGTGGCACAGGCATGGCTCACTGTCAGATCACTTGAGACCTACTCAGGCCCAGACTTTCAAATCCAAGGAAAAGAAAACTCCCAACGACCTCAGCCATTACAGATTGCATGAATTCCAAATGTTAAAAGGTATTTTTGGTTTGAATCTGGTGTTGTCCACACATGTAGTGGATTGATGTCACTTTTGTTTTTTAATAAGGTGGATGTGTCATTGTGAAACCCATCATTTCATATATTCCATATATTTAAAACATGGAGATGTGGCATGGTTAAAGGACAGATGGCAGTGGAGGAAAGCACCACAAAGACTATTAAACGGCTGCTCTGAAGTGAGCAATGTGCAACTTTGAGAACCATCTACTGTTGAAAACATTCCCACACTGAATACTGATGTCAGATGCAGTCCCGAGGTGACAAAAATTCTCTTCTCTGTTGAGATGGGCGTCATGTAGATAATATTTTTTTATTTGTCTGTTTGCTACGGCCAGAAAAAAAAAACTTGACTCCCAGTTCATGTAGCAGCCAATGTACAAAACAACTGGGATGTAACTCAATGCATGCAAAATGTAAAACGTTGCATTCACTTGCCTTTTTGAAACCTATTGCTTGCGCGTTTTGGCAATAGCGCTGCTTTCTAGTGATAGCTTCGTAATGCATTACTGCACATGCCTGCACCTGAACAAAGAGGTCACCTTTTAGTGCTGAACTGGCTTCTTTTCAACTTCTAATTTATTCATCAAACAAGGGAACCTTTTTGATACCTAGAAATTAGATCAGTCGTCGCTGTTTAACACCGCTCATCTGTAGTGTCTTCGGAGTGTCTGTAAAGAGAGTTTCAACAATAGTCTGTAGCATCATTAGATGAGCAAAGAGAAGACACGCTCCAGTTTCCTGCACTGGCACTGAGATCGTCCCTGAGCAACATTTCTCTATAAGCTGGGGAAAGGATTGGAAAAACACAGCACTCAATGCTATGCTGTTCTCTGTTAGTTCTTGTTGGTTCTAGCACTGTTTTTTTCTGTGTAAACACAAACAAACAATACATTTTTATTTTGTGCTTTGTTCATTTCATGGTGAAGAAGGTGAAGTACGAAGGACCTGATTAAAAATTGTTTTCCTTCTGCAGTCATATGGGATGAGTAATGGTTTTATGCAATCACACTGTAATATTAACAACCATATAATGTGGGTTTGAAGTGAAATAGTTTAACAAAGCAAAAAGTGGTTTGTGTACATAAGCAGTATCTGCAGATGACATTTGTGTTTTAAGAAGTACACGAGTTTTGTATTCATAGTGTTTATCTGCACTGAGCTACAGGGTGATAAGGGAAATGTATTCCTTACGGATTATATTGGAAAATACAAATATGCTGGCACTGAAATGAGAATAAACTGCCTGCTGGTGGGTTGTGTTTTTGAATGGACAATCATCAGAGAAAACAAACTCATCCTGTGCCGAAGAGACAGTGACGATGGACCAAAATCCAGCGAATGGAAGACAGTAAGCGATCGTACTCACTCAGAGAGATTTTGAAAACTGTTGTTTTCACGAGGACGACCACAGTCTCCATGAAGACCATCCACTAAGATAAACATCTGACATGTGACTGTTCTGCCAGTGGATACATGAAAAAGCCAAAACGACGATGCAGGACTACAGACTGTTGGATTTTACATCTAAAATGACCAACCCCTCTGTGGTCGGTTATGCTATAAGAAAAACTTAAAAACAAGAAGTCATTTGGCATTTTTGATGTGCATCATGACTGTTTTGATGACTATTTACACTGACTCCTTTCTCTCCAGCAATGGTGTATTCACAGTATAACTTGTGTCTGTGTGCGTGTGTGCGTGTGTGTGTGTGTGTGTGTGTGTGTGTGTGTATCACAGTCTGTGCAGAGGACGGCTGTGCCATGAGTCACATATTTTAGCAGATGTTACATATATGACAGAGATGTATCTATGGGTAGGAATTCTGTGATATGATGCTTGCGGGTGGGTGTCTGTGTATGTGAAGCTGTCAACTGCACTGGCAGTGGCAGACTCGCTGTGAGCTGTGTACTGTGAGCACATTTGTAAACACACCTGATGATGAATACAGTGAAAACAACAACTATATCTATTTTCTCTTGCAAAACCCAGACCTGTGTTTTCCTTTTTCTGTTTGTTTGCCATGTTGATGCTTGAAATTTGCTTTTACTGGCAGCAATCACCTGTTACCACAAATGCACAACCTTGTGTTTGCAGTATCACCCACACAATAATATTTAAATTATTAATCTTATTAATTAATTTCCTTTTATTTTTAATGTCTCTATCACTTTCTCGTCATTTCCTTTCCCAAACCAAAGTCTTCTTTGTCATTATGCTTTCTTACACAAACTATGATACAGCACCTCAGCCAAAGGTTCTGCATGGGTTTATACACAACATGAACAAGAGATCTGAAATGTGGAATTAGGGTTTAGCAACATGACAAAAATTCATATCCCAATAACGATATATATCCCGATATAATTTTTTTTTTGTAAATTTACTGAAATATGGTATTTCCAACTGTAACTCGTGACATTTGTCTGCATTAAAAAAAGGAGGGGCGAGCGATTCTGCAGAAATTCAACACCATGACAAATACCATAATAGAGTGAACAACGACACTGCAAATAATGTAACTAACATTATCTAGGTTGTGGGTCAGCAAACTGACGCTACTTGCCGCTGCAAAGCTATCATGAGAGGACAGGTGGCAGCTCAGCAGCTCCAGACAGCGACACTCATAACTCTCCTGCTACTACAGCAACATAACAAAAAAACGCACATCTTGGCAAACTATAAAGTAAGCTGTATGTCCGTGGGCAAGTCATTAAACGTTACCTGACTGACACACACATCATGGCTGGCACTGCTGGATAGTGTTGTTCTTCCCCTGCAACACTGGCACATGTGGAAGAACGGACTGCGGTGAAGTTAGTTTCAAGTTGGATATTAGTTTTAAAGTAAAGTTAACTTCACCTACCCCTCAAGAAAATATTACGGTAAAGTGTGAACGTTTTTCTACCGTCAAACGATAGATATCGTCAGCCCTATGTGGAATAGAAATCCAATGATACCAATGAATATTTGTAGTTCTGAATTATGTAGATGTAGTGTACATCTTCATGCTGCCAAATCTGAACCGGATTGTTGAGATCAGATAGCTATATACTTAAGAGTTTCAAAAAATCTAATGATAAATGACTAATCATTTTTTGATATATTTTTTTTACATTAACATTTTTGTAAGAGGGTCATAAATTTGTTTATTTGAAAAGTAATACTTTAGTAATTAGGCCTACATGGGTACCTAACATATATACATAAGTACAGGCACACCGCCGCTAATGTCAAAAGAATTTATTACACTTTCATGAAATATAATATTAACCTTAAAGGAAAACAAACAGATGCACCACTTCACTCAGAAAAGAACATGTATTAGTATTTAATGAGTGAGGTGACCGTCATCTAGTAGCTAAACTGATAACAAGAACAGACACATTAGGATCAGTCTGACTCAGCTCAGCAGGTGACAATGATTGATCCAATCACATACATTTGCTTCACAGTAATAAATCAGAGCGGCGAAATCTTGAGAGAAAAGAAAACCTTCTAAATTCTTGCAGATTAGGAGAAATAGAAACAACCAATTTCCTTGGGGGAACCCTTAATTATTTGTACTTTCTTAAAGATTTTATTAGAGATAAGAGTGTTCTGAGCAGCACATTTTATTTGTCAGTGCAGTGTGGTGGACACACAAATGTATTTTTTGAAATTAAGTAACAATTTCCTACACACCAGTACCAATATTTCTGAAATATTTCTAAAATCGTCTGTTAATATGGACCATGCTGATGGATCATTCACGCGGCTTTACATCTCGTAAAGATGTTCTTGTTCCTGTCAGAGCACTGAAGTATCTTATAAACACACACACACACACAATATAGACTTTCACCATGGTGACAACTCATCATTAATTCATGCAGAAAAGTAGCAAGCACATAAAAAGCATAGAGGTGTGATCTGAACTGTGTGTGTTGAATCTCAGATGTGACGAGTGTTGAATAAAAGAAGGCTGATAAAAATGGTGGAAGATTTTTTTTAAAAAGTATAAAACAGACCATTTGTTCTGATCAAGTAATTAGCTTCAAAGCTTAATTCTCTCAACAAAGTTTCCATAGTAACATTACTGTTCCTGCTAGATGAGGAGAGGAAAGTGAGAGGTGGAATGTTTTTGCTAAACTAAGAGAAGCATCACAAAACCACACTCACACAGGCCTTCCTTGAAATAAATGAGCATGGTAACCCACCGACTTTCAACATGAGCACAGTTACACTGAGCTGCAAGAAATCTCCACAATGGAGCAACATGTTTATCATTTTCTTTCTTGTAATTTCCTTGAATGGAAACCTCACTTGTTATTTCCAAAGAACAGCGCAGCAAATGCGTGAAAAAAACAAGTGCAAAGAGAAAGAGAAAAGAAAGCGACAGGAGGGAGAGGAAATCAGTGCGAAAGGGAGATGCTGTGCTCGCTTAATGGCCCACTGTCGTCAACAGAGGATGAGCTAAATAAAACATTAAAGCTGGTATTATGTCATTTCCACTGCGCCATGCAACCTCTGTGTAGTATAAGTCAGTGGGTGTGAGAATATAGGCCACCACTCCATTTATCCCACAGTGGGGCATGTTCTCTTGGCCCATCCATATTCACGACCCTATCACTATAACCACATGTTCTGCTGGGATGTGTTTCTGCAAAGGTAATCTCTCATCTGTAGGTGCAGTTCACAGCTCGACTTCTTGAACTCCCTCATTTGAAACGTTAGCGTGCCTCACTGTATGTTTACACTGAATTAGCTGTGGTAATTGATCGTGTAATCGTTTCACACCACACGAAGGAGTATCAGTCCTTCACAGTAATGGTACCCACAGAACCGGTAGATTGGAAGTGACAGTTTCCTCTGTGTGACCCCGTACAACTGCGTCACTAAGAGAAGCATTTGTTGAAAATTTCTAAATGGAGATACATCTTCAGTTGGCATTTTAAGGGGCATATGGGGCACACGGGCAAAATCTCTTGCAGAGAAGACAGCAGAGTGATTTAATTACTGTATAGCACTGTCTCTTTATGAGTGTGAAGCAGTTGTAAATGTTGAGTCATCACTCCTGACAACTGGCAAATGAACAAACAAGAATGGCTTTCAGGGGAGAAACAACCCTATCTGTTAACATTTCTGAACATTGATTCATTTGTACTTTCATTTAGTAATAACCTGCCTGATGGAAAAGGTTAGACTGATGGTGAAGATGTAGAGGTAGTGATATTAATTTTTAAAAACCTCTTACAATAATCACAAAGGACAAGGACAGACAACAAGCACCAGATCAATTTCTTTTTGTCTAGTTACATAAATTCACAAATATAACAGACATTTAACCTTAACATTTGAATACACCATTGTACAAATCAAAGACAGCAGACTTTGTTGTGGCTTCTCTCTCTTCGCCTGTCACATGTTGTGTCTGTATGCTCCTAACTTGCTGTTGTTATCAGCAGTGCTCATGTGACCCCAGACAGCCCAGCAGCAGCAGATTTCCACTCCGCCGCTCTGCTCCATGCAGCAGGCTGTTCGTTGTCAGAACCCGTCAGAGCTCCCCTGTCAAAAATCATCGTCACCATCACAATATTCAGCCCCACAGCCCCTGCTGGCATTTAAGACAGTGGATCACAGGCTGGCGGGTGACACAAACAGCCAGACACATGCATCTGCATCAACACCAAAGTTCCATTGGTGGTGTGCTAATGCTTGACAACAGAGATGGGATATTAGATAGCAACCATCTAATACCTCTGCAGAGATACCTGACCTGTCCAGGTGGATTTATTCTTGCAGGGCGACAGGCTGACCTTAGACATGGCACACATTAATAATTAACTGTCCTTTTAAAGGTTAAGGCAGCTGGACCAGGTGAGAAGAACCCAGCAATGCAAGCCCAGAGAGACAGAGAGAATAAAATGTACAGTTCCCCTGTTGTCACAGATTAGACCTTATAAAACTGAATATCAGAGTTCACCTAGACTCTGCACAGCATCCTTCCTCCACCCAACCCCCCCAAAAACACAACAAACTCAGCAGCAACACCGTCTGGACCAAAGTGGTGGACCACTTTGGTGGCATCCCTAGAGCCATTCCGCTAGCATGACTAAAAATTATTATAAAACCACTATTAGTCACAGTACCACAGAATTTAAAGATTATCTCTTGTCCAAAACTCAAATCTTAAAACAGTTGAAACTACATGTGCAAAAAAACTCTCATCATAGTGGATTTTTTTTCACTTTTTAAAGAAAACAAGACTTAAGACTCAACAGTAAACCAAATTATAAAGTCCAGCTGTGTTAAAGGTCAAATGAAACATTAAAGTACAATAAAATAGTAACATGAATGTCAAGTATTGTGTTTACATGGATGCCCCTGTTAAATTTGTGTCCTATTTGCTTTTGTGACAATGGTCAATGGTTACATAATGAAATTATTTCATGAGTAACCCTGACAGATTACTCCAGTGTTTTTAACCTCGTTTGAAGCTAAAGACAACAAGGCTGGCGCTCCAGTCAAGCAGAGATATTGTTTTGGCTTCTGCTATAATCTAAATCTGTCTCTTGCTGTTTTTCAAATGAGGAAGCTTTGCCAAGTGCCAAACACTCTTCCAGTAAAAAGCTTTTTGCTGTTCCTGCTCCACGGCTGGCCAGAGAAGCTTTAATTAAAACTCTGATCTGACAAATTCACTGTTTCAGCCCCTGACTGCACCGGCATACACTTAGAGGGGTATGTGTGTTTGTGTGTGTGGACATGTATTAGTCATGTTGTGGGGACATAAATCTGTGTTAACAGTCAAATTGTGTGGACTCACCTTCCTTTTGGAGACAAAACTCAAGTCTCCAGAACCTTAATCATAACATTTTAGGGTGAAGACTTTGTTTACATTAAGGTTTAGGTTAATGTTTAGGTAAATGTAAAGGTTTAGGTTAATATAAATGTTTAAGTTTGGAGTAACGTTTAGGTTTAGTTAAGGGAAAGGTTAA